AAGATACTAACACTCCAATGGTGTCTGGTTACCATCTTCATCCACTGCTAATTTAATTTCGCTTCAGGATGTTGAAAAATCAGTTAAATGCTCTAACACTTTTTGAAAAGAAAACATATCCAATACAAGCTTCCAATTCACGTTACACCGAATTTAATATAATCCAAAACGTGACAGATGACATAAAAGTGTGAAGCTATTTTTGATTTGGTCGATCGGAGTTCAGTCTCCGACTTCAGATCGACAGTGAAAGAGAAGGGCTCAAAAATTATTCAAACTTGATATATTGCTACATACAAATATATATACAATATATATACAATACACGGCCGTATAGGGCTCAGAAATTTTAATTATTGCTTAATTATTAAGTTTTATCACATAAGATTAAAAAAAATTAAATTCACACTTGAACGATTTCAAAGATAAGGAGAGTACTAATTGAGATCTCCGAGGGCGCCAGATAATCGCTTATTCTATATTTAATTACAATTAAAATTAAATTAACTTGTCTTAAGTACTAGCCAACCCTATAGGTTTTTATAGCCTTGTCGTAAAAAGTTATAGATAAGTGCGTACAAATCTATACACTAAAACTGCATGAAAATGCACATTTTATCAGCACATCAGTTGTTTAGATATAAAGAAAAAAAAATTAAAATATCGAACACCCATCTGGTATTGAAATATCTGATACTATGAATGTTATATTATGAAAAAACTAATGAGACATAAATAGAGAATCATAAAAAAAAAAATATTTTCGTACCTTTAGAGTTAGCTAAACGGCGCCGTATATGAGGAGAATGTCATCCTGAAATCCAAAAGAAAAGCCATATTAATATTGGGTAAATAATTAAACACTCGGTTATGTTTTATGTCTTATATTTTATTGTAGGCGGGCCAGTCTTCGCTGTTGCACAAACGGGCTGTTCAACCCATGGAAGTACCATGACTAACAGAAGACCACAGTTATACTCTGCGTATCGTCCGGTTGGTGAGGTAGCAGACACCCACTTTATTGTAAGGTGGCAATGCATCTGCAACCCTACGAGTGTTGCAAATGTCCCTTACAGGCGGTAATCACTTAACATCACCGCCAGCTCACTAGGTACTTTCTCACATTAAGAAAACTATAAAATAATATATTTTGAACTATTCTGTGCCAGTATAGACAATACTTAACTTCTAATGTTCTGATATCGTCATTAAAACTTTTACTGTACACTTAAAAGAATAAACGGCGTTTTTAATCGACTAACAGACTTAATTTAACTTTTTTTTAATTAGTAATCATCTATCGAATTTTTCTACTTAGACAAAATTGTCACTTACAGTTGAAAATATTTCTGCGTATTGCTTTTCGAACAGAGATTATGATAATTATATTACGAGAGACCATTATTTCGAGAGCATTACTCTCCTCATATTTCGTATTATATCAATAAATTAAAACGAAAATAATTATATTGAAAACTATTTCATTTCTCAGGTCGGGAGACAATATTAGACCTCCTAAGTCTGAAGGAAAGAGCTATTGATAAAGTAGAATAGGATGACTTTCTTAATCCTGCTTTCTTTTCTTGTTCTCTGTTGCTAAAACTTATTATTGCAACCTTAGAAAATATGCAACCGGTAACATTTTATTGTTAACAGGACCTAATATAAACCGACGATATTTCGAGGAAGATCGGGACATTCGGACCTCAATTGCGACGGTCGTAGACTGTTCTAGCGTGACTACGGGTAACATTGAGTGTTACTGTCAATTCATTTCAATCAATAAGGGATTAAGGAAACAGCTTAAGGCGGAATATTTAGAAATTAGCAGCCGTATAGTTTTTGGACGCGACTTACAAGTTCGGACAGTAACACTGTTCGGACCAGTACTGCAAAGACTACGAATTTTTGCGCTTTCAGTTAGAGGAGGTTAATATTCATTATTATTAATTGCTTAAGGCTATTTTTTGGCGGCTTTAAGATTATTTTTTTGCCCCGGGGCAATTGTAGAGCCGGCAATTTGGGTTGATTTTCCATTTTCGTTGCAATTTAAATTGATATTTGTTACTTTAGCGGTAAAAAATGAAGACATTGCACCTTAAAAACATTCAAAAATATATTACGGGTTTACGTGAAGTTAGCAAACAGGCGTAGCGCAATAGGCCCTTACATTCTCTACACATATGAGGTCTTTGCTTAGCTTATATGCAGAGGCTATTATTTAACTTTTTATAGCTAATAGCTTAAAATAATATTTATGTGTTTACACTTTTCTTTCAACTTAACAAGACATATTCTTTTATTACTTTTGGATCGCTGGTGCCTGCAGTAGATGTTGAAAAACCTATAAATACTGGACACCAAATTAAATATCCTTTCTAATTCCTGTCTAATTTAATGAGGAATGTGGTTGCAAGTCTGTCTTTTCAACAGTGAAATATCCTACTGACATCCATTTTGGGTAATGAATAGATCACGACATAGTTAAAACGCCAAAAGAAAAAAAATATTAACGTGAGTTACGAAAATGGCCGTTTCCTGAGACAGTACTGGAGGACGAATGGAGGCGTTTGAAAACACCGAATTATACAGTGGTAGGGCCACGCAGCACTCTCGGCTGTTGCACGAATGGGCGGGCTCGTCCGGGTAACAACCACGACCTCACAGAAGACCGGCGTATAGTATAATACTTTGGCGTTTCGTCTGGTGAGTGAGGTGGCCGGAGGCAAATTTTCAAAAGGTTGTCAACGCCTGCAACCCTCGGGTGTAGCAGATGTCTATGGGCGGAGGTATTCACTCAACATCAGGTGAACCGTCTGCTCGCGTGGCAACTTTTCACATAAAAAAAAACCGAAATAGAGATCCGCGCGAGTGGAGCCGCGGGCGACAGCTAGTCGGCATCACAACAGCGGGACGGTGTTCCAATAAGCTAATGGGGTCGGGCGGCGCGTATTTGCCGAGCCCTCCGCGCCTGGCGAGCCCCGCTGTTTGTCCAGCCACGACAACAGGTCCGTTCTGAGACTGGGGATTATGCGCGCCGCTTGTTTTGATAGCTCCGGATCTGTACCTCATCCCGATTAGTACGTTTTTGGGTCTTTGACTTTTTTTATTGCACCGAGCTCAGGTAGTAAGTAAGTAACTTACTACGAGCTCGGGTATTTGTTTTTTATTATTGCGCCGAGCGCTGGGAAGCGTTTCGTTTGTGGTCATAATTAAAGACAAATTTCCACGTCAAGTGTAGTTTTTACGAGTGACGTGCAATAATGATTTGCACTTCGACGGGTAAGTATGAGACAGTGCGACAGGCGCACGGATGCCAACTTAGGAGTTTTCATCCTAAATTTAGGAGGGAATTTAAAATGGAAGTTTTTAGGAGGCAAATTCAAACCAAACATAAGTAGTTAATAGGAAACATTTGTTTGAAATTTTTGTGGATTTATGAATTGCACTATGAGTATTTTTTTGAAACAGGCGGTATCGTCGGTAAAGAATTTATTAGAGCTGTTTTTTAAGAATAAGTTTACCGTTCAAACTTTTTGAGAATATCTAAAAGTTATTAACCATAGCATTTTTTAATGGATTTCGATTAAAAATAAAAAATATTTTAGGAAAATATAAAGTATAATTATATTGTTGCTTTAACGTTACTATAGATTTTTTAAAAGGTGGTTCAGTAGATTGCAGTTAGTTCGCCAACTTTGAAAATGGTTGGTACCTCACTCGCCGGACAAAACAAAAGAGGAGGAAACATTATTTGTATGTACTTTTAATATTATAGTTATCGTATTAGTAAAAAAATAACACGGTCAATAATTTATAAAGATATTCGAAAATCTTAATAGTTTTCAAAAAAGAACTGTTGGCGCTAGCAACACTCTATACTGGATATGACGTTATCTACTCGTGCCAAGGGACACATGGTCGCATGGAGCAGCGGTCACTTGGATTTCGGCTGCGTTCCCGGACGGTGATATAACCACTAGTGCTGCTTGCCGTTATAATAGTTGTTAATATTCAAGTTCAGTAATAGTTGAAATGTTAGGATCAAGGTAAAAACGTTAGAACTCTTATAGAACAAGCTCACAAATTTAACAATTACAATGCAACTTTTGTTGACTCTGCTTAAATATAATTTGGAATATTACATAACTTCGTTATCAAGTAACGTCGTACCCATGCGAAGTAAAGGCAGAACAAATATTTTTAAGTGCACATTAAGGGTGCACAGCGGGTAACATTTACGTCTATATATTTTTTTTATTATTATATAAACAGACATCAGTAAAAAAAGTGACGAAACGAAGAGGCTTTTTAAATACCCTGAAAACTACACGCATTTAAGATCACAACACCAATGCCGGACGCGCAGCATTCCTCCTCTCTAACCCGAAACATGCTCCATAATCAAACACCCGATAAAAAGGGTAAACACACACCCCCATAAGCACACAACACACGAAAGTCGGTTACCGATAAACTAGAACGGAAGCCGTTCGGCTGTGCGATAAAACACAACGAAGTACCAATCTCTTCATCTATCCCACAGGTCGGCAAATACCTCCACACTGAGGTTCTATTCCCGATTGACAGACTTCACGTAACTACATCACTACATAGTATCACGTAACTACATCACTACATCGTTCAAAAAGAAGGAGGTTATCAATTCGGATGTTTATATATTTTTTTATGTATGTTCGGGCATAACTTCGTCATATATAGACGGATTTGCAAAATTCTTTTTTGTTCGAAAGGGTTTCATTCTGAAATGGTCCCATATAAATTTCATATATATCTGATGATGATTTTCGGAGATGGCAACGGAACTCTTCGAAGTTTTTTTTTAAAAACTTTTTATTTTATTAGATAGAGTGATTCAAGAGGAAGGTCGCTAGTCGCATTTTCTTCGATTGGCGAGCGAGTGGCATTTGAAAATTTCCGGGTATCGAACGGGTTACTCGAACTTTGCCCGGTACAGATAACATAATGCGCCACGATACATGCCATGCCTCTCGGCTAGAGCCGCTCGCAAAGCGGAATCGCCTCGGGACGCTTGCGAGTCCTTTGTCGGACGGGGGAGGCGGGATGCGCTGGCGCCGGCGTGCCGAGGCGAGCACGACCGCGTGGGCAGCGCAGCGCACACAAAGAAAAAAGCCGGCCAAGTGCGAGTCGGACTCGCGCGCGAAAGGTTCCGTACCGTTTATCTACGAAAACGGCCTACAAAAATCACGCCTGTTATATTATGGGAGCCCCATTTATTTATATTTTTATTCAGTTTTTTAGTATTTGTTTGTAATAGAGGCAACAGAAATACGTCATCAGTGAAAATTTCAACTGTCTAAATTTCATGCTTCATGAGATGCAGCATTATGATAGACGGATGGACAGACAGACAGCGGAGTCTTAGTAATAGGGTCCCGTTTTACGCTTTGGGTGCGGAACCTTAAAAAGCCGCCCGCGCCGTGGCATTCCGCCACCGAACCGGTCCCGCCTCAATGGCGGCCGGCGCGCACCGCCCGCCGAACGAAAGTGGACCCTACACCGACCGCGCAAGGTACAAACGCGGCACGACGGCGGGGCAGATGCGGGAGAATTATAATCGTATTACGAGGAGGATGCGACACAAAAAAGTCGAATGATGGCAACGGTGCAGAATATCAAATGGTGGTGCACGGCCGCGTCGTGATTGATGGACGCTTAATGAAAGTGAAACGCCGATAGGACGGTACAGCGCTGCCGACGGCGTGCTCGGGTTTATTTATAAACCATCGACAAACCTTTCTGCGCGCTGCTTTTAATTAGGATTCTGCCGATATTAACGACTATATGAAGCACTTATAGAACACAAATGAATTAATACAAAGGTTCGTTAAATTTTAAATGCCTCATATGGTAAAATATTATAAAATCATTGCAGAGCTTAAATAGAAAGAGGCATAAGGGTTCAAAGCGAACAAAAAAAACATAATTTGGAATTGTCATCACACGATTTTTTGGATCGGTAGATGATATCATCCTAGTAAACTGAATAAACGGGAGAATCATTGAAATCTATTGCAATGCCTCCGCGACGGGGAGGTCTGGATTTTCTCAGGAGCACGCACGGAAGGGTTTTTTTTTTTTCATTTTCAACGACACTCACACATTACTATTCAATGCCGTTAGCTAACACGGCAAGGGCACTAGCAGCGGGCCCATTGTGAGCGCGCTCTCAAAAGCTGTAACGCACGCGGACTTTCTACAAACGAGTGCCGTAGTTAAGGTAATAAGGGCTGCAGTTATCCAACGTTGTAAGGAACAGTTCTCGTCGACGGCCAGGGGAAATAATGAACTGTATGCAATTAAACAATAGTACGAAGTCTTCCAGCATTGGATTGGATGCGCACCGAGAAGCGTTAGTAGTCCTACTACCTTCAAGAATTAATGTAACATCTAAAAGATAAAATTTATTTATAACTTAACATAACTGTGTAATTTAAGATTTGATTTTTTATTTTAAATTGATTTAAGATTTTGATTTAGTTTGGCAAGGGACTATATTAGGGATCAATCGGGAGATAAATAATCATCTCTATTGAACAAACTACAAAAACTCATTGCCTACAATAGATCACAAATATGTTCATTGTGTCAAATTTTTTATTCATCGACAAACATAATCCTTATTTCGACACAAAAAGAACATACATATAAGTTTAAAACTTTTTTCAAAACACTCAGATAATACATATCACGTAGTATATATAATATAGTATAATCGTCTATTGCAATATAATTAATAGCTATAGGTATTCCATCTTGTTTACAGCTAAAATAACGAGTTGTTTCTAACGGGCGAGATTAGAGGTTATTTTGCACGTGACTTTAGAATTTATACTCTTTACAAATATTTAGTTTTATAGCTCTTAATGATTTCTCAAATCAAATTTAAATCGGAATAAGGGTAATTTACGTATAATATGGCGCATTATTTTTGACTTTTATTACCGTACGTTTCGAATACTTTAAAGCATTCAAAATCACGGCAAGGGCTGAGTTTGGACGGTGCTTGACGTCTCCTTATGTCTATATTAACAGGGCTTACCGTTTACTCGAAAAGCGAGGTAAATGTCAATAGTAGTTTTACTTGCGAAAAATTCCGTAAAGTGTTTAAATGAAAAAGATATAGCTCACCTTATTATATTTGCTTCTACTTGACGTTTAGTTATACATCATTGCCGTTACAACCACGAACATAATTATTGACATTCACTCACTGTAAAACCCTAAATGTTTGTAAAAACAATTCGAACGAATATGTTTCGTATTCTCACGGCATCGTTTGGCCTGGTTACCGCAAGCTACGAATACATACGGCGATATGACTTCATTAAGTCAGATTGATTATTAATCGATATAACAATGCAAATGCTCCGTGCACCTTATAAATAACGCGTTCGTCGCGTTGGCAACACTCGCCGGCGGCGGGCCCGTGACGTCACGAAGGGACACCCGCGTAGGTAGGCGCGCCGCCATCCCTTCCAGGAATTGGGGCCTCGTGAACCCCAGAGGTACAATGGCCACGCCGGCCTTCCTTCAAACGCACGCCCGATATCGGACCGAGTGAGATTCCAGCGCCGGATTCGTCTTTTTTTTTTCTCAAGCACTCAACCGCGCACCGCTCCCCCGGACTTGTTTGATATTCGATAGTTTGAAAATTTCGGTACGCGGCTCTATTAACCGACCCCGACGTTAAGACGATGATGGCGTCGTCTAGAGTTGTTTATAAAGCGATTTATGTATACGTTTCGATAAGGTGTAGTTATTTATATACCGGCATGATTATGGGGTGCCGTAGTATCTCAATGTTTGGACGCGGGTATCAGTTTAAAGAATCAACCTATACATATCCCACTACTGGACAAAGGTACAGAGGGTATCAGGGTATAGTCAACCAATAAATTCCGACGCAGCCCCACTGTGGATTCGCGGGCTTCATATATGTTCGAAAAGAATTATTTTTTTGGTATTATTTCGAAAATATCCTGCATATAATATTTCCCCACGATGTTTTCCTTCACCGCTAGGCATGTGATAATTCAGCACATAAAATTAATAATTTCATTGATGCCGGCACCGGGGATCGAGCATCGAACTCAGGTTACTCAACAATAAACAACAATATCAGCCTATTGCCGTCCACTGGACGTAAGCCTCCCCCAAAGTGCGCCAACTTGCCAGGTTGCTCGGGTGTATTAAATTAAAGGCGAGCGCCCGGACATTGAGCTATCACGGCTCAGTTTGAAAGGGTTTAATTTAGTAATCGAGCGACTTGAGTTCAAATCCGGGTCCAGGCAACAATGAAACTGTTCTGTTTATCTTCGAAGTAATAAAAACACTTTTACAAAGACATAGTTCTGCCAATCCGCAATAAGGTCGGAATGCGTACTAGCACTTGGCACAGAGAAGGCCTATCACGACATAGTATAAAACAAAGTCGTCCCGCTGTCTGTCCCTATATATGCTTAGATGTTTAAAACTACTAATGGATCTTGTTGCGGTTTTGTTTAACTAGATAAAGTGATTCAAGAGGAAGGTTTATATGCGTGCACCCGTGCGAAGCCGGGGCGGATAGCTAGTACTATATATTTTTAGTATTTAAAATAATTCACATTTCAAAGTGGATGTATTGTGGAATTAAATAAAAATTTACCAAAAATAATCAATGTAGTGCATGTGCAAGTCCAAGCAGACCAAGATAAGACCGAGCAGACCGAGGATTAAGTAAAAATACATACTTTTTGATTCCCTCTAGTTTAGTAAGGTAACACCTAGGCCCATTGTATAGGTTTTTTAAGCCACTCCACGCCGATTATGAACGTCAATGGGCGACAGTCATGGCTTTATAACATTATAGCCGCCTTCACGTATGCAACCTTCATAAACCACACGATAGAATAAAAAAAAGAGAAAAAGAAAGAAAAAATACTCGGGCGTGTATAGTTAAAAGCCAGTCAAAATTGCTTTATTTAATATAGGTTTAATTTTAAGGTCATATTGAATGTCAAAAACCGGCCAAGTGCGAGTCGGGCTCGCGCTCGAAGTGTTCCGTACCATTATCTATAAAACGGCATAAAATCATGTTTGTTACATCGGAGCTCCACTTATATATTTTTTACTTTGTTGTTATAGCGGTAACAGAAACATATAATCTGTGAAGGTTGCAGTTGTCTATCATGGTTTCTTGGATACAGCCTGGTGACAGATGGATAGACATACAGACAGTCAGACAGACACCGGAGTCTTAGTAATAGGGAGCCGTTTTATCCTTTGGGTACGGAACCTTATAAAACTACCACCTACTCACTATACTAGACTTGATCGTTCTTGTTATCTTTTTGTTTCATGATATAATTATATTCGTTAACGCCTCGTCTGTGTTTTAACTATGTAGTCATGCTTTGACGTACCAAACAGTCACGAACATTTAAATAAAATAAATATTTTTAATCTGTATCACCCATTTATTACTAGCAACCCCGCTCCACTCCTGCTGTTATTGTGTTTTTTCGTGCCGAACAAAACGTTGTGGTTATATTTTCTTTAACTTAACGTTACTGGAGCTGTTGGACGTGTCCAGGATAAGGTAAAGTTTTGTATCGTTTAATATTTTATGTACACAAATATATTGCGCATCAAAAATGTTTTTATTTTCTATATCTAAGGAGGATATATGTAACTTTATACGCATTAAATTATATATTTGTGACAAAAAGCTATGTTAAGGGAGATCATTAACTTTTAATTTCATTTTAAAATTGAAGTCATTTAATAAATTTGTAAAAACAACTCATTTCAAAATGGCGATGTTAGGATATTAACCACCAAAAAATTTAAGTAACTCCTTGTGGAGTGAATCCCTTATTTTCTCTTAAACACACAGGCCAATGGCATAAAAATATCTAAGATTTATTTTCAAAGACATCATTTATGAGCTTTAAGTACTGAGAAAAATTTTAGAAAAATTTTGTCTTTTGTTTTTCATCAGGGCCATATGTATATACTTAACTAAAGGTTGTCAAAGATAACTAAAGGATGTAAGTGATAAATTAATATACTTAACAAAAGGATGTCAAATAAATTGTGACATGACACATAAATTTATAAAATTTTATTATAAACATGAGTAAGCTGAAACCTGAATTAGTGTAAATTCTTATGCTTTATATTAGATTGCAAAGAAAGGCAAAAATCATATGTTTAATACAATATATTTGTTCATAAAAATACATTAATGTACTATCAAAAATTTACCTTATTGCATTTAAAAAGTAACAAATTTTTAAATCTAAAGATAACTTTAAAACTAACATGGTCTGGATAATAAAATAAAAAAGACAAGGTACATTGATAGAAAGAAAATAGTATGTCTATTAGTCCTATAAAAAATAACATACATATTTGGAATAATGATGACGAAAATATTTCATAAATGATTTAGACTTTATGGCTGCCTTCTTTGCATGAGTTAGCAATTGCACATAGATAAAAAAAAAATTAAAAAAAAAATTCCAAATTTTACTCTTGAGGTTTCACTAGAGGAAACACGAGATATCAACCTAATTTAGTCTTGAGGTTTCACTTGAGGAAACACAAGATATCAATCAAATTTAGTCATGAGATGCCACAAAACGATACACGAGATATCAATCTAATTTAGTCTTGAGGTTTCACTAGAGGAAACACGAGATATCAATCAAATTTAGTCATGAGATACCACAAAATGATACACGAGATATCAGTCTAATTTAGTATTGAGGTTTCACTAGAGGAAACACGAGATATCAATCAAATTTAGTCTTGAGGTTTCACTAGAGGAAACACGAGATATCAATCAAATTTAGTCATGAGATACCACAAAATGATACACGAGATATCAATCTAATTTAGTCTTGAGGTCTCACTAGAGGAAACACGAGATATCAATCAAATTTAGTCATGAGATACCACAAAATGATACACGAGATATCAATCTAATTTAGTATTGAGGTTTCACTAGAGGAAACACGAGATATCGATCAAATTTAGTCATGAGTTGCCACAAAATGATACACGAGATATAAATCAAATTTAGTCATGAGATGCCACAAAAGGGATACACGAGATGGCAGTCTAATTTAGTCTTGAGGTGCCACAAGAGGGCGCACGAGATGACAATCTAATTTAGTCTTGTTGTTACAAGCAAGTACACAAAAAGCATAAACATGCTTTATTAAAAACATTATTTTAAAATTTTAACTTCTAGTTCTCAAAAGAGAACAATTTCCCGAAGGGACCATGAAAAGAATACAAATCAGAGTGATCAACACTGGTGAAAATGAAATAAAAACATAGCTTCCTGAACAAGTCATATCTGAACTTGTCAGAAAGAATTCAAAAAATTTAATACTTCATCAAAATACATCCTAATCTTGCAAAATTGTGGCAAAATCATAACGGAAGTTGGTCTTTAATAAAGAAATGAAAGATTGAAATTATCAACAAAATAAAAAATCTTATTATTTATAATTGCAACTTCCCTGCGCCACTCTTAAATATATCATCTCTATCATAATATATGGCCATAATGAAATATGCATTATTACACAAAAAGGATAAGAGTGATATTAAAAATTAAGCATTGCTATTAAAAATTGGTATTACACTGTGATTTGCACCAAATGGAATCTCAAACAAGGTGAATTGTTATCCTACTAGGATTAAATAAGAACAAGAAGAGAAAACAAACAAAAATTGAACAAAAGCAAATTTGTTTGGAGAGAACCATGTTACATTTATTTACATTAATATATGATAATCTCAACCAAAGCTTTGAAACACAATAAGAGGTTACATGTCAGCATCTTTTTATAACTGAATAATAATCCTTTAAACTACTGGGGCCTATCTGGTTTGAAGAGAATGCAAAATCAGGGCAACTAAGTCTCAAACCAGCACCCTTCTCTGCAACTCATCCTCATTTAGGAAAAGTGTCCACCAGCAAACATGGAGTGAAAGAATTAAAGGAGAAATCTGCTGGTAGACAATCTTTATTTTATAGTAATTGGATAAAAATTACAAGACATAAAACCATATTAAAGTGGGTGATATACCTGTAGAATGGAAATATTTTTTTTCAAACACAGCCTCCATTAAACAACTTTTTCAACCCTAGTAAAAAAACAAAATATAAAAAATGTTTTTTCTAAGTGGAAACATGGAAACAATCAATGTTTTCCCCAAAAAAGTTGAAATTGGTATTGATACATTGTGACAACACTATTACCAATGAAGAGTCTATAGTCACCGGTAATTTAGAAACTTAATTTGAACTAAATAATATACATACTGTAAAATTGTTCCAAAGTTTTTTGGAATTCCATTAGTCAACCTCTTTGCCACTAGAAAGAATGGCATGTGGAACCGAACTATTGGGCAGTGGATGTTTATACCAATTTTTTCTTTATATCAAGTAAGTTCAATTAATATCTTAAGAAAGTTCAATTGCCCCTTACTGGCCATCACAACAAGTTTCACATTGTTTTCAACCTGTTGAAACCTGTTAACTTCATATAATTTTGATCGAAGGTCACTTACAGGTAAGTTACTTTGATCAATTAATTATACATAAATTTAGGTATAAAATCAGCAGCAGCCAAGTGCAAGAGTCATTTCCATACATTAATCTATTCTTCAAAACTATAATATACCCTTGCCATTGTGGTGGCTTTTACAAAATGTTTATTGAACCTTAATAGTTTACTAGACTTGTTGTCGCAAACGAAAAATTCCGTTTCTTGTTAACCAAGAAACACTTTGTCACTGCACAGTAGGAGTAAAACGACGAAGTTGGGAAAAACAAGATTATGTATAAGCAGACCACGGCAACGAAACGTGTAAAAATTAGTTATATCGTCTTTAAGATTCACTCTCAATTTTTTAAATAATTTGCAAATACCATAACGAAACACAGTGAATATTTTATGCCTACAATTATTTTTATTTTATTTATTTATTTGGCGCGGTTACAAAATACAAATTAATAACATGACTAAATTATTACAGACTAATACATACTCGTATTACTAAACTTGCCTTTCAATAACAACCGAGCTTTTCGTACTTTTTCTACATATTTTTATGTATGTAATAAAGTATAGTTACTAATTTAATAATTTAATTAAACACTGGAATATTCGAACAAACACAAAATTTTCTTATGATAAGGGATTCTTTTGTATTGTTTTGTCTTTGTATGAGTTGCAAAATATTCAAGAACTTCTTAAGTGTAGATTATTATTGTTACGTACATATTTGCACACAGAGAGCGAGAGAAAACCAATTCCACTAAGATATTTCTTCATCGCCGATCTAAGTTTTAATTTAAAAAAAGTCGCGTGACACAAACTATACATCGCAACCCGCACGTAAATTGGCATTATTAAGGCCCATTTACATGATGCCAGTTTCTTGCCTGTTGTATACAATTAAATCGAAGCAATAAATGAGTTGCATGGTCTAAACAACAAATGGTCTAAACAATTATTGCGCGCAATTTATTGCATTCAATTATTGCTCTTGTATGTTCAAGAAAATGGCATCGTGTAAATGGGCCTTTAGGAAATCGTACAATCCGACCTTTCGCAACAAATTCCTAAGGCCTCCGGAAGTTGGGCGGGCGCCGGCAGTCTTTCGCAATTCCTTGGCGAACTTCGCTTTACGTAATTACCACACGGTTGTTATTCCGAATCGAGATTGTTCGCCATCGGTGTCGCGAGTTCCGCGCCGAGGGCACGATAGGTGCGGAGGTCTGGTCGAGGGGCGCGGATTAAAGTTTCCTCCAGGAGTTGAGACGTGATGTATCCGGGAGCTGGGACAGGGCATTCCGTATTAATTAACTAAGTAACTCCGCCGGAGCGCGCTCACAGGGCGGCGTTGGCGAGTTGCTAGTCGTCAGTCGCGTGTCAATAAGACAGCGAGCGACACGGCGGATTGAGTGTGGGGATGGGGGGGTCACGGGCGGCGCCACCCCGGTGTGTGGTTTCCTTTTGATGTCATCTTCGCGCAAACTTTGCTGCGGATCGGCTTTGAGATAGAGAGACGGAGAGTGACTAATTTGGCCCAGCATTTGATCTCGACGACTGCGATGTTGGCGTCCCTCTCGCACCGCCTCTCCCGGGCCGCCGCCGCCGCCGGGTAGCTCTTTGCCGAGTTTCGCTTTGATCGCAAAGTTAAATTATATGGGAATTGAGCATTAAATGGATACACATGCGAGCCGCGCGCCGAGCGGCTTGAGCCTCGGACCGAACGGCTTGCAGTGTGGGAAACGTATCCACGGTATGGAAAGACACGATACAAGGCGCGGGGAAGCGTGGGGGGGGATCTTTTTGACGATTACGCCGTCTTACATAAATAATGAGAGCTGAGTCACTCAAAGTTGTGCCCGTCTGCGAGAGAGGCGCTCGTATTTAACTCCGCCTAATTTGCCACGAGTACGCAGCACCTTTGTGAGCTCCGTTTTTACTAGTTTACGAAACAGATATTTGCGCCCGCCCTCCCCTTTGATACGGCACTTTGTGGAGCATTTTACACGGGTTTCTTTTGAGGCCATTCAGACGGTGAGTAACGAAAGGCTGTCTTTGATAAACACGTGCGAGGACTCTTCAGTACTTATTAGGGGGGCGCTCTCTTTGAGAGTGCTTCTTGTGAAATCTATTTGAAACGTTCAACTCAAAGCGTCGCCGATGAAAGACGCGCTAATTAAACTGTCACTAATACAATTATGCGAAGAGAAAAAAAATATCAGTACATCGCCCCCGTCTGGAAGTCGCTTTAAGTGAGTGAACTGAAGTGTTGGGGACGATGAAAAAGAAATTATTACCGTATCGATCAACACGACGTGCACTTTCGACTTGGTCGCTCGCTCGGTACCGAGAAACGTTATTAGTAGGTTATTAATGTTAGGTTACACACTCGCGTGACACAGTCAAAGAGGACTCCGCAAAGTGGCGCCTTTGTGGGTGCCGCCGCCGCGGGAAACGCTCCCTGTGTCCCGACCCGCTCCCCGCGACAAACTCTTTGTCTTGCGACGCCTTCAGCACACGCTGCACAAATGAATTGCCGCCGCAATAAACAATACGAACGGATACGAATTGATACTTGAATATGAACACCCCTTTATATCATACGGCTGATAGTCGCGACATGTGTCTATCGAATTTATACTCGACACCCGTCCTCCATTTATATATTTGAATTTTATTAAAAACTGATTGAAAACCATACTGTAGAATAAAATTATCCTTTGTTACAAAATGTTTAACAAAGATAAATTTCACGTGGATAACACACAGATCAGCAATTATTTGTGGAACCCACAAAAAGTTGTCCCCTGTGTGAATCGTACTTACGACCCCCGGCACCTAAGCCAAATACCTTGGCAACTGCGACGCGGAGTCATTTATAACGTTAAATTGTCAAAGCAATAGCGAAGGCGCGCTAAATCAAAAGAAGCCCGCCGCACGACGCTCGTACAGCCAATATTGCGCGCTGGCCAATCGATTCAATATTGATGACTTATTCGAGATCAAAGCGGTAAACGCTTTGATGTTTTAAAGTAGAGGGCCTTTGGTGGCGAGCCCGCGCCGGGCTCTCGGCACTGCGAGACCCGGACAAAGGGGACGCGGCACCGACCTCGGAAACAACTGGCGAAAACCTAACGAATGGACCGCTCGCATAATCCACTCGCTCATTGCGATGCAGAGATTATGTGCGTCATCGTCCGATTAAGGCGAAGCTAAATAAGGAGGTATATGGGTGTTTGTATGTCAGTATGTTTTTCATCTCTTAACTAATAATCGGCGGAACCGAATTTGTTAAATGATATTTTGTTAGGTTTGGCTATCGGGTTTTTGAGTTTTTTAAGTAAAATGCGTGACGAGAGCATTACGCGCGAGAGCAAAATGGTGATCGACGTTACGAAAAGGTGATTTCTTGATTATTTCGTAATTTCATTTCGTCCTTGAACAATTTCATAAATTAATATTTTGTTTAATAGATAAAATATTCTTTTAGTTTTACTTGTAGAGGTTACACGCGTGTAGAGGTTACACGTACTCATTTTTTTATTATATTAATTAATATAGATAATAAATTAATATTCTTATATATATAAGAGAAGATTTACATCGTGAATTGACTCATCACGATATCTCTAGAATCATAAGGCGTACAGACTGAAATTTGGTAGGAATATTCCTTTCGCCGAGTAGAGGTCAACTAAGAACGGATTTTACGAAATGTTACCTGTTGGGTCCGCTAGTGTGTCCATATTCAGATAGAGTATTAGGTATGTCTTCCTTTTCTTTTTATTATAAGAAAGATGCGATAATTTTTTTCCAAAGCCGTTTTATACACACAAGTTTACATTGACGAACATACTGATTCTGAAAACATTAACGTCATTTGAAGTTATTTGTACCGTGCGAGCATTACAATTTGCAAATTTACAAAGTGGCGGGCACATGGCTATATATATATATATATATGGTTACAGGTATATTTTATTATCTCTTTGAAAGCATTCGGTTAGACCTAATTCCCCGAGCAAAATGAAAGTCGAACTGTAAACTGCCTTCGCCAATTTTCAGGCAATAAAGAGAAAAATTAAGTACATCGAATGGCAAAGTGGCAGCCTTCACAATAAAACATTTATACTTCGGGGTGGGGGAGTAAAATCAAAGAGGCGCCTAATTTATAAATTGCAATTACACCGACGGTAGGCGGACTTTAAGTGAAGACAGATAAAGAAAAAAAAATTGAAACGGACAGATTACGAACACTAAATTTAATTACAAAGCGAACTCGAATATAACAAATTGAAGAGGATAAACGCGACAAAGTAAAAGAGAAAACACACCCAAAAGGAAACTCGTAGCATTGATATAAACGAAATTTAAATTAAGTACAAAGGGAAGGAAGATGAAAAAAAAAATCCTTTCATCGAAAGCTCTCATCCCCGGAGTCAGAGGGCCGGGCGGCTACATCAAAGACACCTTCACCCGACTCTATCCTTATCTGCGCGGCGCCGAGTTTGGAAATTAGCGCGGCTCCTTTTTCTCGGGGACTCAGCGGCGCCCAAGGACGCCGCGTGCGCACCCGTCCGGCCGTTCGCGCCCTCGTGAAAGGGTCGCGCGAACTTTCATGCGGCCAAGTCCGCCGCGCTACGTTGCGACGGATAAAAGTGACGCTAATACGGCTAATGACGATGTTTTATTCAGACGCGGAGCGCGGTGCAATCGGGCCGTCGGCGGGCGCTAATGCGGAGGGATAATGGCGCGCGGCCGGCCCCGGATTTCCGGGCGGGCTAATGAAATATGGGCTACGCGCTACGAGCGTGTTCTGCCGCTACGGGCGTAGGCGTGCAGTGATGTAATCATTTCTAACGTTTACGAATACGCGTCCCGTGTATAACTGTTCTCATGTACGTATGTGTGGGTGCTGCGCTAAGCGCCGTTTACGGGACGGGATTTTTCAGTGTTTATATTGAGCTCTACAAAGTATAAATGGCATATTAAGAAATTTTCCGTAATTTAACGCAAATATACACCTAAAACATTGAATTGAACACAGTAAGTGATTTTGGTTCAGTTGTTTTATCAGTGGTTGCAGGTCTCGAGAAACCGGAATCAATGAGTCTCTGGCTAGACTACCAGTGCCTGCACTCTTTAAAGTGCAATTAAACTTAAATATATTTTTTATTTTCATTTCAGGCCCGATCATCTGATTCAGGGATTTGTATAACACCGTGATTTTAGTGCATTGTTTTACATGGTTTTTGATGAACCTTGCACTTGAATCACTCTATCTAGTAAAAAAACCGCATCAAGATCCGTTGTGTAGTTTTAAAGATAAATAAAAGCATACATCGGGACAGACAGACAGCGGGATGATTTTGTTTTTATACTATGTAATGATGCACAGCAAAGAGACATTTAGATTTCAAGTGACATTTTACCACAATCACTCACTTGTTTTGCCTTCCCTGAACTCTTCCACTAATACTTACGACTTTATGGTATGGTATTAAAGTTCAAATTGACTTTTAAGTATTATTACGGGAATGTAGATGTTGTTTTTAAACATTTTCAGGGAATTTTTTAAATATTTTCTTTCATAAGAACCTTCTCCCGATAATAACAAACACAACAAAAAAAAGTGAAATCGGTATAGCCGTTCACGCGTGATGGCGTGACCAAAGGAAATAGGATTCATTTTTATATATACAGATAATATAAGATATAACCAGTCTGAATGTTGAACATTTAAAATGGTAATTATAGAAGGGTAAAAATATTCACACATTAGGACGTTTATTATTAAAATTGATAATTCAAAGCTATATTAAAAGCTCGAATTAAATAATCATCTAAATATAATATGATGGGATTACCTGATGATATGGTTCACGTTTTAGAAATTGAGCGCGTTGAAGTCTTTTCTTCAACGGCAATTTATAACTGTAATCTCATGATTTAGTGGACAACACTTATAAAACGTTAATCAGTCAGTTAATTGTACCCAAAATAACAATAAAGTCATAAACTCGGAACGATATAAAGAAACTTAAAAAAAAAATTAAAACATTTCTAAACATGCATCGCGCTGCAACAATAACTTTACACTAACAATAGCATTTAAGTTCTACTTTAGTGATCGCTTAATTGAAGCGAGCGTTCTTAAAATCGCCAACGACCAAATCGAACAATGTCGAACGGACAAAACAAAAACACAACACAACAACAAAGCATCGTAAAGCGGGCGAAACAATAAATGCGTAAAGTTAACTACCAAACTAGCGCGAGAACAATGCTGGGGGGGGGGGGGGGGGGGGGGGGGCAAGTGAACGGAACGAACAATAGTGGCATTCTAATAAACATTAGAAGCGAGGACCCTAAGAGTCCCAAGACAATGGGTGCGTACCGTCGGGGTGTCGCCGACGTCGCCGAAATCACTCCTATCGCTAAATGCCGATCGGACGCAAAGTTTCGCAAAGTTCGAACTCTACCTGAGCGGGGGACTGTCAGCGGGATACGTTTATCAGCTCAATCCTCACAGTACACTCACGCACAGGGAACATCGATTACATTCCGAACGTATACAACAACACTTTGAACAGCTGTCAATTGACCGATTGCGCGATGACAGTACGTCTACGACACACGTCCGCGACGCGCGATTTCGAACCGAGACGCGGCGGAGCTCCGTCCCGCACGGCGCCTAGCGAGCAACTGTCAGATTTTAGAGATCCGCGTGCGCGCGGCGCACGTGGTCGCGATCGGGGGCGGGGCGATGCGGAACCGTGCGGCGCCATTGGTCCGCGCGCGCCTTTGATCCGCCGCCGACGGCTGACAACGTCGCCCCGCGCCTTAATCTCGGCAGTAACGTCCTTTTAGAACAGGTAATTTTATTACGGAAACGCGGATACTGTTGCCGGTCAACCGCGCGCCCTTCAGCCGGGACGGACCCAGTCCACGTGCCATCTGCCGAATACACTCCCCGCGCGTGAGTTCGTGGTCGACGGATGCCAATTCACACTTATGTGGATGTCGAGAGCGAATGGGTCCGGCATTCGGCGACAGGCATTCGGCGAATTCATACATAGGCGCTTAAAATAACACGTGGACTGGGTCCGTAACATTATATTGAATTCTGATAATAAAAAAAACGTTACAGAATCGAAAACAGTGCCACTGCTTGCGCCCGTCTAAATATATATTAAAACTAGCGAACCCAACAGACGTTGTCCTGTAAACACGACTTAAATCCGATATCAACTAATAAATAAAAAAAAAAAAAACCGTGGCACTCGGGGACTGCCGCGGTTATAGTTAATAAAAAATGTATAACTTGTATAATCATACGTTGATTACTTGAACTTATGCAATTATAATTATTTATTTATGCAGTATTTTTTTTCTTTAATATTTATTCAAGTTACACTTTTTGAGCGTGGTGACCGATATGAATATAAACCATTTTTTTTCTCTTATTGAATAAGTGAAAAGTTGATATCGTTTAAAATATTTTTATTATCTTATAATACATGTAGGTTATTCAGGAATTTTTATCATTGAAACTATAGGTTTATGGTAACTGAAATAAGAAACATAAGTTTGAGACTTGATATCCTCTAAATATCATATCATCATATGATAATATAATATTATAATATCTATCCGTGCGACATTCCTACAGTCGTACCATATACATACACGTAGCAGCGAAATCTCGGCCGAGCTACATGGTTGACGGAGTGTTAGGTTTTATTTTCGTTACGGAATTTCTTGATTCGGTCGGTGAGCTTCAAAATTATTGTGAATCTAAAAAATTCCTGAATCGACCTGAAGCCACTCAAAAAATTTCATTATAATGGGTCCAGCCGTATAGGAAGAGTTCAGTGACATACACATGTACAGTAGAATTAAATATATAAAGATGATCTTTTATTAATAGGAAATTATAATAATGCGAAAAGAAATTAAAACGTCGCCACCTATTACTCTCATTGTACATTTTGGTTACAGTTAATGTTTAAAAATAATATCTTGCTGAAAAACATTAATAAATATATTATACAAAGAGGTATAAATTATTTTGTACCTCTTATGAAAATATATCTTTTATTTAATAAAACATGAATAAATATGAAAATACTATATAATAAACATGAATATATACGATACAACAACTAGTGAACATAATAAACAACATACATATACAGTTGCAAACAGCTTATAGAGTTCGATTCGGAGACAGGAGCGCTTTGGGGGCTTTTGGCGGGAACTTAGAGCGGAGGTAGAGCGTGCGTTATGTGGTATCCGAGTGAGCGCGGGCCGATGTTTGCTGGATGTTCATTAGGGGCCGGGTGCGGCCGCATCCGACGCTAATAAGACGGAGCCCGCCCGTCTCGCGATATTGCGGCCCCCGGCGCACACACGCCGCTAACTCAAAGGGTGAGCGCGCCGCCTCGCCGGGCGTAAGTGCAACCACTAAAAGCCAATCCCAAGTTTTTATTGATACACATTGTATTGCGACAAAGTCTCGGTCGGGGCGGGCCGCCCCACCCCCCACGCGTCGCACAAAGACAATATCGCGACGTCAAAGGAGCGCTGCGCCCCGGCCGCCCAGCCGCCACCCGCGCCCAGAGGAAATGAAAAATTAAATTGTCAACACATTTAATATCGGCGAAAACGTGCACGGCGCGGCGTTGCCTTTGAGAGCGTCTCCTTTGTGGCCCCGCCGCGGTGACGGCTTTGCCGTATTAAAATCTCCAACTCGCAAAAGTGAAATACTGTTTAATTAGACGCCGCGACGCCGGACGAATTCGAAGTTGCATTAGATTGGCGGCGCTAATGAGGCTCGAAGCGAGCACACGTCACCGATGCCGGGCCGCCAGTGGGGGCTAGGGGCGCGGGTGTGGGGGGCGGCCGGTAGGGCGGGCGGTGCGTTTGATCGCCGCCGCCGCTTTGACAATTATTAAAATTCGCCTCGTACCTCACGGGTCTCATCTTTTTCCGTCGCCTCGATTACGCCACGGGTTTGTCTCATTAGGGCTTTTGTATGGTACCGCGGGCTCCCCTTTGATGTCGAAGCGCGGTGGCGCGCGGGGCGGCCGCGGTCCACCTGCACTTTTATTGTTCCCGCTCGGGCTCGAATTTGCACGCTTCACTTTGAGCTGTCCTTTGAGATTAGTGTCCGCCCGCCCGTGCTCTTTGCCCTCTGACCATCGAGACGTTAACGCGACCCGCTGGGAAATAGGAGGCCGCCGCGCCGTCGGGCGGCGGACGATTGTGGCCTGTCAAAGCGGCAGTGGCTTTGGGGGAAAATATCAAATTTTCGAGTCGTGCGCGCGGAAGCGGCGTTGCGCTACGTGGCGGCGTAGCGCCGTAGCAGCGTAGCGCTTCGTTGTTTGGCGAGCGAGGGCGGGGCGGCCGCGCGTCGCGAACACTCGACACCCCTTTATTACTTTTGTGCCCTTTGTGAGCGGCATCATCATCAAGCACGCGGCTCGAATTAAAACTTTATACAGCGGCACAGAGACGATTTGCCGCTTCATACGTTTTATTGGGCGCCCAAAGCGGGGTACGGCGCGGTTGCGAGCTACAAACAGATCGCAGGAAACTTGATACGTTGGCAAACAAAAAGATTCTCTCCTCTTTTGAAATATAATTTGTTTTAGTTGAACTTCAGGGAGGCCGGTTTTGTTTTTGGCATGTAATAGATTGGATATTCGTTTTCGTTTGTGATGTATGCGGATGCGAATTATAGTTAACGAAGTTTCAACCAGCTAACTTATTTGTGAACTATGTCGGAAAAGCCAATATCATGAAAAATGTTTATAAAGACATAGTTGCACCACAAATACCAAGAAATTCGGTACATACATAATTATCAAAATGATATCGTACCAACTTTAAAAAACATCGGGTAGACAAGGGAATATTTTTTCTTTTTCGACCAACCACGGAAGAGGTTTTTCTAAAGAAAAACTTTAATATAAATTAGTGAATTTTTGCGTAGTAAGCTTTAGGCGCTTTATGACTACGTTGCAAGTGCGTCACAAAGGACCGTTGAGAATTCTAGACGAGTTATCACAGACTTCGTGTATTAAGAGAACATCTTTCGGCTTTTATTTTGTAGAAAGCTCGACAAAGCTAGCACCGGCAAAGGGACTTGGTTCGTTTGTACTTGATGAATTTATTGTATTATATTGAATGAATTCTAACCAATAAGGCTATTCTTTGTTATCAAGTAGTATATGAATAGGGCATGATTTATTTTCTTAACTAACAGTTAAGATGGATTGCCACTTGTAATATATTACACTGCTATTCAACTTATCTGCCAACGAGCTTCGGCTGACTAGTAAGAAGTAGTTCAACTTGTACATGGCTAGAGTTATTAGTCGTAAGATTGAAAGTTGGTGAAATGTAAAATATTAAAATTTGTAGAAAAAAGGACGAAAAGTTTTTCGCCGCTACGAGAATTGAACTCACGGCTTCTAGCTTCGTGCCCTGACTCGTTGACTACTAAGCTTTTTTTATCTGAGAAGGTGGCTTGCGAGCTGGCGGTTCTATTGATGTTAAGTGTTAAATGCCGCCTTCGGGCAATTGCAACACCCGTAGGGTTGCAAATGCGTTACCTTTCAGTTAAATGGGCCTCGGCTACCACACTCACCAGACGAAACGCAGAAGTATAATGGTTCTACTTCACGCCGGTCAAATATGAGGTCGTGGTACTTACCCGGACGGATCTCCCCATTCTTGCTACAGCGTAGACTGTAGCAACGGCCCTACTAAACAGCTGATTGCCGCACCGATTAAAATCTCAACTTCTTCTATATACCTACATTGTTTTTTCGCATTTGAATTAATGCTTGCCACATCTTTTGTTATAATGCCCTTTAAGGCATACAAATAATTTCAAATAAGGTTTTACAACGACAAATCGAACAATAGAATCGACGAATCGAGTGACATGTCGCGTTCGTTAAATAGATCCTATGGTTTCTAGTGCAAATCTTTTGTGAGGAAACAAAGTTTAAAAAAAAAAGGTTTGAAAATTTATGTCATAACAAATTATATCAAGAGTGAGAATGGTTCACGTGCTATGTGAACCATTATCGCTCTCGGGCCACCACGAAAAGGAGTTTAAATCAAGAATCCTTGTTATCTTCTAGTGATCTAATTTTTTACTCATAGCGTCATGGACTTCAAGTGTATAGAGTCCATCCGGTTATTTAAGGGAACAAGTCGACTTGTCCAACGTTGCGCGCCCTAGTGAATTAGTAATGGTGGACTGCCGGGGAGGACGGCGCCCCAGCGGAGCAACTCATTCTTTTCAAAAGCCTGGATGCTGCGACGGCTAACGCTCGGCTAAGGTTTAAAACTCACCATTGACTTGCATAAATTTCCGCAACAAATCGCATGAACAGCTACGAGAAGCCAAGATGGGCCAATGTGTTTTTTATTCACATCGGAAAAATTTTGAATAATTTCTATAGATTTCTTAGTATTAAATTTAAACATTACAATCGCGCTTCCCTCGTTCTTAATTGGACAAAATGTGTAACAATAGTCCTAATAAATAATAAGTATCGTCTTTAATTAACGTAACAAAAACCGACAAAACCCGTGGACAAAAACAGAAAAGCTTTTTAACGCAGAGTTAGTGAGGTTATCTATAATTCTTGTCGTGATTTGCAATGTTAATGCTATATAGGGAGTTAAAGACATTAAAGCGCAGGACTCGATGCGCAGACAATTCAGTACAAAAGGAAGCCTCGATCTCGACATTAAGAGAAGTGAAACCCAAGAAAAAAAAATGCACTTTAATAGCTCACCTTAAGGAATCTTCAGAACGCCTTAATCAAATAACGTCTGGCTTTACAATAACTAGCAGGTGAATATTTAAAAACTTAACATTGCCCACCGATGCGGTGGAACATCGAAAAGTTTCACCCAGACTGCAACCGGTCGGCGGACGGATTGGGCGACGGTTCCTATGTTTTATCCTTTACAGCGTTCACGCCCGGTTTCTGAAACACTGATCATCATAGAAGTTAACTAATCAGCTGTCAAATGGCTTTTCAAATGTTATTTAAGTTGAGAAAAGGATGTTTGAACTCTCTGAATTGATCAGAATGATCTTTTTTAATGTTCAGAATGTTCAATTCAAAGAGTTTAAGCATCGTTTTGTTAATTCAAGTGAAATGTGAAAAGCCATTTGTCAGCTGATTAGTTAACTTCTACGATGATCAGTGTTTTAGAAACCGGGCGTCAGTCTCGCGTTTCGCCTCCCCCGGGTTTTGAGCCTCGATTCTTCTCTACACATTACGAGTGAACCATTCAAATCTGAGAATGTACATTTTTTATGCTCGCGGAAATGCGAGGCAATGAATGAGCGTGAGTGTTAGTGGAGTTGTACGCTGGAGTGAAATACGTTGGGATTTCCTTTTTGTGTTTTTATAAAGAGCCCGTTGTATGGATCCCAAGTTCAGAGTTACTCTACGTGACTGGCTTGGTCCGCAACATTCGCTCCTTGAACTAACAAGCGAGTTAGTCTAGTGAATGGGTGATAATTTAACTTATACAATGCTTAAACGTAAAATCTAAACAAATACCAATACAACTGCGCCATAACCAAGATTAACAAGTTACATACAGTTCACAATTATTAAACAATATTAAACAAAACAATAATACACATTTATTGCCTTAAATCTGACGGTGTTAACAATGACACTGGACCTCTAAGTCCTTCCTGTATCTACGATTATTAAATGACTTTATATTAAGAAATTAAACGCTATAAAAAACAAAAAGACAGTTTCATAGGGATATGACCGAAAAGTCGGATCGTTGTCCACAACTGATATAAATATATACGGCTAGCGTTGTCTTCCTTTATCCCGAATATGTAGGTATAACATACTTGATTAAATCCTACATCAACGTGTTACTTATTTCAGCTTTTTATCATTTCAAACTGTAGATCGAATGTGTAGACATCATGACGTGACAGAGTTCAAACATCCAAAAGTTTTAATGTCATTATATTTTGAAGAATCAAAAAAAAACTTAAAACATAGAAACTTAAGGAAAAACATAAAGTAGTTTAATTCTTCATTGTATTAAATTCACAGACACGTATAAGTTTAAAATCAGTATCGCTACCACAAACCGTTAGTTGGGAACTTGCCGTAAAATTGCACTTATTTCTTAAAAAGGCAGCAATGGAATGCAAAGCCTTGCATTCAAATGTGTCGCGCATTTGAATACAAGGCTTTGCTTTGAATTCACGTTGTTTTCTTAGGTGTGAAAATCTCAGTCTTATATTGTCGGTCGGTCTACTGCGCCATGCAGGATTGTCGGATTTCGTCTATCCCACCCCTATCTCTATCTACCATTGAATGCAAACTTTAAAGCCGTTGCAGAGATCTAATAACAAAGAATATTAATTCAGTTGGTAGGCAAAAGTTCGCTGTTGCACGAATGGGCAGGTCCGTCCGGGGAAGTCCCACAGCCTCACAGAAGACCGACGGGAAGTGGAAGTGTTATACTTCTGCTTTTCGACTGGTGAGCGAGATAGCCGGGGCCCACTTTATGATAAGGGTATTGCAAATGTCCATGGCCAGCGGTTGTCACTTAACATAAGGTGAACCACGTGGTAAACCAGGTGGTAAAAAAACACATAGAAAACACATCCACCGGTCCACACGGAGAATGCCTCGCGGCGAGTAAGTGTGGCTCCGCGATTAGGGAAAGTGCGCACGTTCGGTTCGGTCCCGGCGGTGACCCTTGACCGTGGCCGGCGAGGGCCCTGCTTGACGCGAGGGGCGACGGGAGACAGCTTTGTAGTGCCGGCAAGGGCCTTTCATCTCGCCGCCCGCCCTTCCCGCGCGTCAGGGGTGGCGCACCTCGATAGTTTCGCAAGCGGCGCTAATTGTGCGAGTAGCGCCCCAAGGCCACGGCCCATTGACGTCGCATCTATAGATCGAAGCTCACGTGGACGGGAATAATACGACCGCAGGAAATAAAGGAAAAAATATTATGAGCCCCATAACCAAAAAAATCATTTAATTTCGAAATTTCTACTTCATTGGAAACCTGCAGCATGTCAAATATATTCTCTTTTCAATTTACACATCTAAAGACTCATTAATTGACTCTTTACATGCGCAGTATAATTAATGGCGCAAAATAAATATCTTAATTAAACCAATCACTGATACCAAAGATAAAAAATAAAGATACTAAAATGTAACAATTTGTAACAATTCACTTGAAGTACGTAACGAAAGAATCCACCTTCGACAATATCTTATCGATGCATTTCTAATATACACAAGCATATTTTTCAAATGAAACGAAACACCCGACCGCAGTAAATATAAAAATGATAACTATTCTTCTTTTTATTTCCCCAATAACATATTGAAGTAATATACCCTAAGTCAGTGCCACAATTGACATGCCATCTCATGACACCGAATATATTGGAATCCGTCAAAAGCTTCAGACTGTAGAGCGCGTCAAAGAATGACACAATACATACATCCAAACATAAACTCCAAAAATAGTCTCCGGCAGTCAAAAATATATGTTTTGTGTGCTATCTAATATGAATACACATTGAATATAAAAAGTTAAATGTGTTTGATGGAGAGCAAGTATTCATTACATAATGTTAAGCAAGCAAACAAAAAAAGGATCATCACTCAAATAAAAGCTATAGCAATAATTCTTATTATAATCCAAATGTAATGGGAGCATAAAAACATGTGATAATCAAAATAAGCAATTCTAAAAACTAACCGGGGGCAACCCTAAGCGGATGCATTGGCTTTGATGTTAAGCGTCGTGCAGACACAAGGCACTTTTCTTTTTGCCAAAAACTTCCATAGGACTACTCGACTATTCATGTGATTTCACATGCCTTTGCTAGCGTAAGGTAATGCGAGACGTGTCGAATTAACTTAAAAGCAAATCAGTTGGGGCTGCGGAAAAGTTACACTCGCAATGTAATGTATGGAGTACACGTAGATTTCTAGTATCGTATATTTTTTTCGATTAGATCTTTCGGAAATATGAAACACTCATAAAGCCTAGTTGTTTCACTCAAAGATTCTAAACTTGCTACCTCATTTTTCATATAAAACAAGGAAATACATCATTGTCCATAAAATAGAGAGGAGAGAATAAATGCTTTTATTTTACGCCTTTCTACTCTTGTGCACTTTCCAATGCTTATGCTTAATTATTGAGCATAAGCATTGAGAATTATTGAGGACTATTATAGTCCTTTCCACTTATTATTGATAGAATACTTTGGAGGTTTACCTGACATTAAGTGATCACTGCCACCTCACAGGTGATACATGTGTGTACACATATGTGTGTGTGGCGATGCAGATGCTTTGCCAACCTTTACATGATAACCTCACTCACCAAGCAAAATGTATAAGGATAACACTTCCACTTCATGCCGTCTCCTGTGAGGCGTCGTACCTCCTCGGAGCCTGCACATTCGTGCAGCAACAAAAGCCGTTGCGCGGCGTGGCGACGTATTAATGATATTCACCCAAAATGTAACCCTAAATGCGAGTAGTCAGTAGTTGCGTCTAAAACTTAAATAAAACGGCCCGAATTCACGTCACAAGCTGGCGTACTCGACAGGCTCGTTCTATTAAAACGCCGGTGAACGCGAATGGCTGTGATTAATTACATCACAGGGTTCAGGCGTTCGCTTTAAATGCGATGCAATGGTGAAATATAAAAAAAACTTGAAATTTACACACGATTTTGGCCACATCCGGCACCGAATCTCGTTTTCCGGTAAGTCGAGTTAGGCTGTGCTTTTAGTGTATTAAAATTGTTCTCGAATAATCAACTGCTGGCTGCTGCAACTTGAAGAGCTCGAATCAATATTAACCTGAATTTTTTTCGCAATTACTAAATGAACCGTGAAACATGTTCGAGAGTGGATTTGAAATCAATGTGTTCCGGCGTGTGAAGGTTTGTTAACTTAGAACTTAACGTTAACATGGAGAGTACAGAATATAGAATAGAGAATTAACATTTGAACGATGAGTATCGAATTTCATAGGACGAATAGGTTTTTAGGCAGTAATTACTTTGATATAGATGACGTCTCATATATTTTACTTGGATTTCATATATTTTAGGAGGAAATATTTTTTTAGAAGAGTAAGATATGTTGCATCTACACTATAAAAACTGTAATACGCGTATGACAAAGGAGATAATTCAATTAGCCAAATGAAGAAGCCCAATATAGGATCTTGTATGGGAAAACTAGCCAAGATATATCTTAAGTTTCAATTTATCTTCAGCCATCTGCCTGTTTTATACCGAGCGAGTTAATAAAAACATTAACTCGCTTTTATATGTCTGGAGGGTGGAATTTTTTTTATTGCTTTCTATTGCTTTAAACTAACTTCCCGATGAGCTAGATACTTGAAAATTCGACCATGGCTTAGAAGTGGATGCCAATACCCGAAAATTTTAAAAGAGAAGATAAATAATAATAGGGCGCTAAGTTCAATGTTTAAAAAATTGAACAGTCAAATTATTTACAATAACACGGTAAGAAAAAATAATGTACCATGCTTTTTTTAACGGTTTTATACTTTTTATTCCGTTATAAAAACATGGCACATTAAACATTTTTTTCTACCATGTTATTGTAAATAATTCGACACTTCAATTTTCTATACATTGAACGAAGCTCCCATTTTTACATTTATGTTTTAAATGGGATTCAGATTACTGGAGAAACCCCGAGTTCAAATCCCTGTTCAGTTCAATTGTAAGTGCTTATTGACCAAGTGCAGTAGAGCACGGCAGTGCGGGAAAATTTCGCGTTGAAACATTCATAACTTTTAATTAATATAAATAAATAAATGTATCTGTGGTAGGGGCGCGCAACTTGCAACAGCTGTTGCACTAATGGGCAGGGTAGTCCGGGAATTTACCACGGCCTCACAGAAGACCGGCGTGAAGTAGGAGCATTAAAAATTCACTTTCCGTCTGCTGAGTGAGGTTACCGGAGCCAATATTTTTAAAGTTTTTCCACGCATCGGCAAGCCATCGTGTGTAGCAGACGTCCATGGGCTATGGTTACAATATACAATTCACATTTATTACATTTAAATCACATACGTTTTAGTTAAAAGTTTAATATTCTCACGCCCGGTTTCTGAGAATGATCAACTTAGAATTTAACTAATCAGTTGTCAAATGGCTTGTTAAATGTCATTGGAGTTGCCAAAAGCATGATTATATCTAGAATTTTTTATCAATTAGGAAAAAAACAATATCAACAAAAAAAATTTAAATGACATTTAACAAGCCAATTAAAAATTTTCCGAAAAAAAATTCTAAAAGAACTTAATTTGACAATTAATTAGTTAATTTCTACGTTCAGTCTTTCAGAAACTGGGCTTCAGTAATTACCCATTTGTAATGTTCAGAGGTTGCGGTAACTCGTTTGAATAGGATGTCAGAACTGAGAATTTCTTAGTAGTTCGGGTTCAAACATTACCTTCTCATCTTATGCTCAATCTTATTTGTGATGTAATGAGACACTCAATCTCGTAATTAACGTACCAGTAAATACACTTTTCAGAAGAGGTATAACACTGTTTGCAATGAGAGTAACGTAGAAACGATGTTCATTTAAAACCCGTTTTGTTGTTACACTCGTCGTCCATTAATATATTCTATTGGTTGTCATAGGAAATAATTAGGTATTATGAGACAATGAAAATTTCTCACAATAATATCGGCAACATAATAATATGTTCGTACAACATACGTTTTTGTTGAGTTTTACATTGCATCATGAATAATAAAAAATAATAATTCGGAGAAAACGTCCCCCTTATTTGCAAAAAAATGTGTGATTATTAATATTTTCTCAGATACACTCTCCCGTCCAAATTGCTAACCATTATTCATTTCTTCCAGGGAAAAAGAAGGGATAAAAATTATATGACTAGAAGAAGTGGGTAGGGAGACCAAGAAAGATTTGCATGAAGTGTGCAAAAAAAAAAGAAAAAATATACAAAAAAATAACGGCTGTCGGCTAGAGGACAGTGGAAAGAGAGAACATGTTATACCGTCCCTGCCTAGTGTGTGTCAAAAGTAGGACAAAGAAGAAGATAAATGATAACCTCCAGATATCTTTTAAAAGTTGAAACTAATTAGGTCATAGGTAATTTAATTATGGTAAAGTTTTATACATAAAAAAAAAAACATAAGTGAATAACTTTTTCTTTTTTTTATTTTATTATGTATTACTTGTGAAGATTCACCAGGCAGTGATCAATTGACACTTGAGGACCGCCTCGCATGGAAACTCACAGAGAGGCCTCTCCCTCACCTCACGAAACGCAAAAGTATAAAAATTTTTGACTACACGCCGATCTTTTGCGAGACCTAAGGACTTCCCCGGGGAGCGAGCCTGCCGTACAGCTGCTTCTTATGTGTTACTTAAACTACTGTTGATATACAGATAAAAAACAGCTTTAGCGAAAATAAACTTTTTGAAACTTTCGCAGCGATTTGTACAAGACAACCGAAGTCTTTCATCGAAGGCAATAAATATGAAATAAATAGACATCAATAAGGCGCAATATGAAATTCGCTGAGAACCAATCACTGCATCCATCAAGCCCGGCAATAAAATCGCAGTTGATAGAACAATATTCATTCCTATATTGCTTTGCATTCATAAACATAGTGACGAGAAACAGAATTGCTGCTTGACTAGGACATTAATAAAAAAATTATAATATTATAGTATTACAAAAACTACTTATTATTTTTTTTAATAAGTATTATAAAACTTTTAACT